TGAGCCAACCTGACCACATATGCTGGGGAACAAATGTCAAATGCCCTGGAGACTGGCGGGAGCTTTTATATATTGAATCAAAGGAGGAACTGTAAGGAAGGTACATGAAGTCCACTGGTGATACATTAAGGAAGCACCAGAAAGCATAGCAGGGAATCTTGGATTGGATACAAGGTAAAATGGAGAAACACATACTTCTTTTACATTGGCAGGTACAGGGTACTTAATAATTAACATTTACAGCACAGAGAACAGGGAACAAGATAAAGTTTCATGCTCTGCTGGGAGGTTGTACCTAAGGAGTCTGGTAAAGGGGAATTACTCTGACCTTCCAAAGGTCTGTTATCTTAGATGTAAAAAGACAGCAGACAGGCTAACTTCAGGTAAAGAATGACCTTTGTCAAGGAAGCTACAGGCCTAGGGTTAGACTACCCGCCATGACTTGTTCTCAATTAGGACTTTTTATGTTCAGACCATCTTTTTTTTTTTTTTTATCCTGCCCTGAGGACATTTTTTTTTTCTTTTTTTGTTCAGATAGAGTGGGAGGGAGAGAGAGAGAGAAACATGGGCGTGAGTGGTTGCCACCTGCACATTGAGTGGCTGCCACCTGCACAACCCAACCAGGGCCGAGGACAAACTGCAACCGAGTTACATGCCCTTAGCGGGAACCGAACCTGGGTCTTTCTGGACCGCTGAGCCAAACCAGCCAGGGCTGTTCAGACCATCTTATGTGCTTACTTTCCGTCTCTGAGTTTGTAAGGCTGCCATGCAGGCCTGCCCTGAGCTTGTCAGGTTTAGTGTGTGGCCCCTTTTTTGTCCACATAAGGAATTAATAGTATTACTTTTTTTTTTTTTAGGTATGATGATGGCGTTGCAGTTATGTTTTATATGTAAAGGGGAAGTCCTTATCTTTTAGGAAAGCTACTGAAGTATCTGAATAAAATGATATGATGCCTAGGAATTGCTTCAAAAAAATTCAGTTGGCCTGGCCAGTGTGGCTCAGTGGTAGAGCGTTGACCCATGCACAAAGAGGTCGCCGGTTCAATTCCCGGTCAGGGCACATGCCCAGGTTGTGGGCCCATTCCCCAGTGGGGGGCGCATGTAGGAGGTGGCCAGTCAATGTTCTCTCTCATCAATGTCTCTCTCTCTCTCTCTCTCTCTCTCTAAAATCAATAAAGAGCCCTGGCCGGTTTGGCTCAGCGGTTAGAACCTCAGCCTGCAGGCCAGAGTCCCAGGTTCGGTTCCTGCTAAGGGCACATACCTCGGTTGCAGTTTGTCCCCGACCCCAGTTGGGGTCATGTGGGTGGCAACCACTCGATGTGTCTCTCTCACATCAATGTTTCTCTCTCTCTCTTCCTCCCTATCTCCTTCCCACTCTATCTGAAAATAAATGCAAAAATGTCCTCGGGTGAGGATTAAAAAAATAATTTAAAAATTTTAAAAATAAAATCAATAAAGAAAAAAATATTTCAAAATAAATAAATGCACCAAGACCTGGTGCCAGTCACTTCTCAAAATCTCTTTACACCTATAAAACTGGGGTAATGCTACTTAGCTCATGGGGTTTTTTGAAGAGTGAGACAATGAATATAAAGTGTCTGGCACATAGTAAATGCACTGTAAATGTTAGGAACCTCTGGGAAAGTCAGAATTGTGTTTGTTCTATTCTGTCTGGGGTGAGAAAGATGAGAGTTACAGGGTAGAAGGAAACGAGGTCTCATTGGACTCCGTTCACAGTTTGAAATGAATGAGAAAATGTCTGTGGAAGTTATGTGGGAGTTCGGCATTTCCTTTTGACCATGGGACTTCCTTTTGTTTGCATTCCTTTGTCCTGATTCAGAGAGGCCACTGATGGGAAATTTAATTGTAGAGTCACCTGCCTCAAGACAGAAAAACGTTCATTTTTAACTCTGAGGAAATCAGCGCAGCTACAAAAGCCTCTTTCTTCTTTGTGTTGATATGCACACAGTAATAACTGAAAGAAATAGGGCTAGCCCTGGCCAGTTTGGCTCAGCGGTTAGAGCATCAGCCTTCCGACTGAAGGGTCATGGGTTCGATTCCCAGTCAATGCATGTACCTGGGTTGCAGGTTCAATCCCCAGCCCTGGTTGGGGTTGTGTGGGAGGCAACTAATCAGTGTGAGAAAGACACATTGCAGTTTGTCCCCGACCCCACAAAGAAAGAAATGGGGCTAAAAGATAGCTAGCTAAAATAAGTCACTCATGACATTTATTTTCAGGCTTTAACCTTTTGTACTTCTTTTCTTAGAAGCAAGAAAATATATTCCACACCCATAACTAGCTGGTTGTATATCCAGGCATTTTTATCTGTGTGCATAATGATTAAAACTGGTGTTTGAATATAGTGTTATATAATGGTGTGTGTGTGTGCATCAGAGTACGAAATGAAGTTATAAAACACAAGGAAGTTCTTAAAATAACCATATTCTTTACTTAATTTTAAATTGAATTTGGCCTTTCTGAATAGGTACTGTTTACATACATTGCAGAAATGAAAGTGCTTCAAAAAGGCTTATGTACATTCCAGCATCTCACTCCCACTTGTGTCTTTGTCAGCCTCCTCTTCCCTGAACTCACACTAGCTTTTTTAGTTCTTTTTTGCAAAAAGAAGCAAAGAGCCTGGCTGGTGTGGCTTAGTGGATTGAGCATCGTCCCATGGACTGAGAGGTCCTGGTTTGATTCCTGGTCAGGGCACATGCCCGGGTTGCGGGCTTGATCCCTGGTAGGGGGTGTGCAGAAGGTGGCCGATCGATGTTTCTCTCTCTCTCTCTCCAGAAAAAAATAAAAATAAAAATAAAAATAACGTATTTTAAAAAAAGGAAAAAGAGGCAAAGAGGACTGTATTTATTATCTCACTACCTTCCTCCCCTGTGCCAACAGGAGCATTCTAGACACTGTTCTGCACCTCCTTTGTCTTACCAGCATATTCTGGAGGTCTTTCCATGCCAGTCTCTTATATGTACATACTGAGCTTGTTACCAGTCTTTTTACTGTTAAAGATAGCAGAGCACTGATAACCTTGTATATGTCATTTCATTTATTTGCAGTTATATCTGTGGGATATATTCCCAGAAATGGAATTTTATGACTACAGGGTAAATAATTATAATTTTGATAGACATCAAAGGGGCACTGTATTTTCCATAACAAATCTGGAAAAGTGCCTGGCATTCGTTAATAGTTCACTCTTGTATGTAGTGAAATTCGATAACTGAGGTTATAAATTCTTCACTGTTTGTTTCTGAGCAGATTGTTCATTCTTTGTAAGTCCTCTGTGGGCTGCTACATATGTGATGGAATTATTTATGCCCTTATGTGATGAGAATGGACAAAAGTTAAAATACATTCTTAGTTGCATAAATTATGGACCACATCTATCTAGCACTAGAGAAGAACCTTTGCGCCCCCTGACAACAGGGCGCAGTGAGGAGCCTGTCTAGGAGTAATGTAGCCTGGCCAGAACTGACACAAGCAGATAAACCTCTGAGCATGTCGCCATCAGGGAGAGGTACTGTTTTACCTCTGCCCTGATTTTTCTGCTGTGAAAATATTGATCATTTATTTGGTGGGCATAAATAATTGATAATTTAATCTAATACTTTGAAAATTTAGGACAAGAATTTGGCAAATTGAAGTGTGTTTTGTGAATCTGAATCCGTGGTTCCATGGAAACAGACCTTTACCTGAGCATTGCGCTATTAGAAAGATGTACGAAGGAAACCAGAAGGGTAAGGGAACCGATTTGAGGAAAAACAGGAGCAGCTGTTATCTACTACCTAGCAGCTAACAGGAGTTTGAATGGGAAATATTGGGGCCTTTAAGAACTAATTCTGCTCCAACGTTAGCTAATGAAATACTGTTGCAGGAATAGAATAGGATATGCTACAGCATGTTGCATACTAACTTTGTTTTTTAAGCTATAAAGCCAACTTTCTACCTGAGGTTGGTATTGTATTTCCTCATTAGTCCTCAGAGATATTTGCATATATTCTAAGTAAATCTGGGAAAGCAGTTATTTAAATAAACCATGTGTTAAGAAATAGGGAGTCTGTTTAGAACTGATTTACATTTGGTATTTTTAACAATTGCAAAATGAGGATTTTTGATAGCCTTTATTAAATACTAAGTATGCCCTGGCTGGTTTGGCTCAGCAGTTAGAGCGTTGGCCTATGGTCCCAAGAGACCCGGGTTCGGTTCCCGCTAAGGGCATGTACCTCAGTTGCAGTTTGTCCCCGGCCCTGGTTGGGTCATGCTGGTGGCAGCTACTCGATGTGTGTCTTTCACATTGATGTTTCTCTCTCTCTTCCTCTCTTTCCCTTCCACTCTATCTGAACAAAAAAATGGAAAAATGTCCTCGGGTGCGGATAATAAATAAATACACACCTACATACATACATACATACATACTAAGTATATTTCCTAATAAACCTATAAACAAATGGCTGAATTATGTAAGGGAAACACAGGCAGGGAGAAGGTAAGCAGTTTTTCCATAGCGTTGGCATCCAAATCCATACACATCTGTGAAAAGCACCCAGGGTTAGAAAAAGATGCTAAACCAACTAATAAAAGGTGTCTTTTCTTAGTTGCTTTGTAGCCAATGAAAGCATGTATTATCTTCTTACATGAGGCCAGATTAGAGGGTAGTTGATGCTGTGCTTTCTCCCCCAGAATTCCTTCAGGCCTGGCTGGACCAAACATCTCTTAGCCACGCCCATTTTCTTCACCCCATCAAGGGCCTGCTTACAGAGCTTGAGCTTGTTTGCATGTGATGTAATAGTGCTGACACCTTGCTACCTGCCAGGCATTGTGCTAAGCACTTGGCGTGTATCATCCTGTTTTCCTTATAACCATGTGAGATAAACAATATATTACCCTTGTTATAGGTACAAAGTATCTTTAAAAAAATTGCTATTGTTGTTAAGGAAATGACCTATCAAAACACCCAGCATTAATTTTTCTCTTTCAAATTCCTCTACAGCGTACTAGTAATGTTCGATCCACGTTTTTTAAGGACTGTTTATATGAAGTATTCGATGACTTGGAGTCAAAGATTGAAGACTCTGGGAAACAGCTACTTCAGTCAGTTCTCCACCTGATGGAAAATGGGGCCCTGGTACTGACAACAAATTTTGACAATCTCCTGGAACTGTATGCAGCAGACCAGGGAAAACAGCTTGAGTCCCTTGATCTTACTGATGAAAAAAAGGTAAAAAATAAAGCATGAGAGTTTGCTTCAGGCTGGTGGAGGAAACCTGTTTTCTGTGCAGTACTGGTATTTATGGGGAAAGGAAGCTACTTCTTCCTGAGAGTTTTGTTTGTTTGTTTATTTCCTAGAGATAAAATCAATATACAGTAAAATGCACAGATCCTAAAAGTACTCAGTTCTGTGAGTTTTGACAATTTCACCCAATTTTAAAGCAAGAGTATAGGAAGTCATTTGAACTTAAGATCTCTTTACCTGATAATACCACGTGGGTATAATATTGATTTAGAATTCTCTCTCAGAACATATTCCAGCCCTGCCTGGCTTGGTTCAGTGGTTAGAGCATCAGCCTGTGGAGTTGCAGGCTTGATTCAGGTCAAGGGTGCGTACTTCGGTTGTGGTTCGGTCCCTGGCCCTTGTCAGGGTCATGCTGGAGGCAACCAATTGGTGTGTCTCTTTCACCTCTCTCTCTCTCTCTCTCTCTCTCTCTCTCTCTCCCTCTCCCTCTCCCTCTCCCTCTCCCTCTCCCTCTCCCTCTCCCTCTCCCTCTCCCTCTCCCTCTCCCTCTCCCTCTCCCTCTCCTCTCCCTCTCCCTCTCTCTCTCTCTCTCTCTCTCTCTCTCTCTCTCTCCTCCCCCCCCACATCTCCCTCTATGTCCCCCTCTCCCTCTCCCTCCCTCCCTCCCACTCTATATGAAGATAAATGGAAAACTACCCTCAGGTGAGGATTTAAAAAAAAGAATATATTCTGTGTGCCATCTCCATCTGAAAATGGATGAAAACTACTTTAGGACATCTGGAAGACCACCTTTCAGGCCAAGTGAATGCTGGGTTGAGGTTAATGCTCAGTTTGTACTTTTTTTTCAGTGGACTTCTTTTTCTTGGAGCCCATACCATACCTAAGCTATCTACCATGATAAGGAATTACAGATGTTGATCTGTGTCAGCTAATGAGATGAGGCTTTATGAGAATGGTCACCTGAGTTTGTAATTTGAAATCTAGCACCAGTAGGAGATTGTGTAGGTACACCAACATGTATTTAATCAGTGAAATACAATGAAGCCATAAAAGGGAAAATGTTTTTATCGCCATAAAAATATGTCAGCAACATAATGAGTGAAGAAAAAATAAAAGACAACAGGTTGTAAGCTGCCACGAGGTCTCATTTGTCTTACTCTGTAGATTCTGTACTTTTCCTTCTACACTTTGGTTTCCTGGGAGCCTGCCTCTGTGCCCAAACTAGAACCTGACTAAATCGAGTTTGAATAGACAAGAGGTTCACCCACTGGCTGTCATTGGCACCATGCTGCCTCTGCCAGAGGAGTAGCTGTGATGCCAGTCTTGCAGTTTTGCTGACCCTGAAGCCAGGTTTTACAAGGAAATCAGTTAGGGGAATGGTGCCATGAAGATGGATTTTCTCTGGCTGGAGTATTTTCCACCTGCTATTCTAAGGCTGTGTGGCCAGTTCCTTCTTCACCTATTTTTTTTTTTTTTTTTAATTTTTTTTCCTTTATTGATTTTATTTATTTATTTATTTATTTATTTATTTTTATCATCCTCACCCGAGGACATTTTTCCATTTTTTGTTCAGGTAGAGTGGGAGGGAGAGAGAGGAACAGAGAGAGAGAGAAACATCGATGTGAAAGGGACACATCGAGTGGTCGCCACCCGCACAACCAACCAGGGCCGGGGACAAACTGCAACCGAGGTATGTGCTCTTAGCGGGAACTGAACCCGGGTCTCTCCGGACCGCAGGCTGATGCTCTAACCGCTGAGCCAAAACGGCCAGGGCCCTTCTTCACCTATTAAATCTCAAATAGCACCTCCTCTGCGAGCTCTTCTCTGACCGTCCTGTTTAAGAAGGGATACACCCTAGCCTTGGCCAGGTAGCTCGTTTTGTTAGAGCTTTGTCCTGATACGCCAAGGTTTCGGGTTCGATCCCTGGTCAGGGCACATACAAGAATCAACCAGTGAATGCATAAATAAGTGGAACAACAAATCAATGTCTGTCTGTCTGTCTCTCTCTCTCTCTTCCCTCCCTCCCCCCTTTCTTTCTCTCTGTAAAATCAATAAATAAACATTAAAAAAATGAATGATAGAATGGAATTCAGAAATTAATGGCTACCAACAGTGTTTATACGGTTTCTGATATAATCTCCAAAGATCCTGACCAGCAGAAGAAGCCTTTTCAAAGTTAAGGATATCTATTGGACATGACATTTTCCTTCTGATTTTCATGCTGGAGCCTCAAGATTTACTTTGTATTTTTAGTCCACAGTAGGGGCAGTATTGTAGTCTAATTGTGAAATTTGTTGGCTGGTAGTCAGGATGGGGCCTGTTAATACTCAAGTTTTAAGTCTCTGTACCTCTTGACTATTTTTCCTAATTCATACCTTATTAGCGTAGGATGCTAGATGAATAAGGGTATACTATACTGTCTCAAGTCCTTGGGAAAGTGGAACTGTGGGAGTCAGGCGGCTGTTGTTATCATTGTCATCTAATCATTTTCCTTGGTAGCCCTTTAGGGGACTTAGAGGTGACTGAAGTGCTGCTTTTCCTGCCTGTCAATTGCTGCACAGGAAACCACCCTAAAACTTTGTGGCTTAAAACCACATTATATTTGCCCATGCTGATGAGAATTAGTGATTTGAACTGGGCGCAATGGGCACTTATTTTGCTGCTTTTATGGTTACCCATGTAGCTGCAGTCACCTGGGGCCAGGCTATGGCTGGGGGTACAAGATGGCTTGGTTTCTGTGTCTGTTGGTACAGGCCGTTGGCTGGACCCCGAATCTCTGGCAGACTAGCCCGGGCAGGCTAGCACATAGTAGCTGGGTTCCAAAAGCAGCAAAAGAGAAATAAGACTCATCATGCCAACATTTTTCAAGTTTCCGCTCAGGTTGTGTTTGTTAATGCCCTGGCTAAAGCCAGCCATGTGGCCAAGTAAGTGTGGAAAGGGGCTGTACAAAGGCCAGGGTACAAGGAGGCTTGATACCTTGGGGATCATTTCTGCACATTATTTGTTCTCTCATGGATGTCACCAGTGGAAAGCCCCCATCATTTCTGCGAATGATGACAAACACGTTCTAATTTTTTATTATTGCTTTCAAAGAGAAATCACCAGACTTGCTGCCTCAGTCCTAAGAGTCATGCCTGACATGGAAACTGAGGCCACGTCATGTTTTGCATTCTTGCTCTATGATATATCGTGGAACTGGGGAGTTAGGCCAAGCTTAGCCCTCCTGCCCATCGGGACCTTGAAGCAGGTGTCCAGCCCGCCCACCTGCTTGAGCTCTGTCTGTGTTGTGCAGGTCCTAGAGTGGGCTCAAGAGAAGCGGAAGCTGAGCGTGTTACACATCCATGGGGTCTACACCAATCCTAGTGGCATTGTCCTCCACCCAGCTGGGTACCAGAATGTGCTCAGGAACACAGAAGTCATGGTGAGTGTTGTTGATCTTGCTGGTCTTGGGGAAGCCTTTCTGGAAACCTCAAAATGTACCATTGGTCTTCAAGGGATAACATTTTCTTTTCATTAATTAAAAGTTGGAAGGCCAGCATTCTTTCCCCTGCTCCTCAGCTTGTGTGTGTGGGGTGCCATCTCAGGGAATGTACTCCTCAGGTACCGAGCAGCAGGGTTTTCCTTCGGTCTTGATTGACAGCCGGCTGGTGGCACGCTGTCATTGCCATCATCTTCACGTACGGAGACTATATTACCCTTTTCATTGTTTGGGTTATTATGGTGTCAGTAGCCCTTTCCATGCCAACAATAACTGCTGTAGCTTTTTATTGACCAATCACTGCTAGAACATACATTCTAAAGTAATGTGTAAATGATGGGCGTGTATTGAATTACCACACTACTCAGACACTGCTCAGTGAAAGGACTGAAGAAATCTGGGTAGGGTGATAAGTGAAGGTTTTCTTCTTTGTGAAATAAGATCTTTGATGATCTTTAGAGATGCAAATTTTAGACTTGCTTACACATGCATGTTCAAACCAAAAACACTCCCACGCCAGCCCTGGCCGGTTTGGCTCAGCAGTTGAGCATCAGCCTGCGGACCAGAGAGTCCCGGGTTCAGTTCCTGCTAGGGGCACATACCACAGAAAAAAAAAACAAAAAACACTCCCACGCCAGTGATATGTGGGAGTTAATTCAGGCCCCCAACTCTGAAAACAGTGTATAGTAGCTATTTTTAGGACTGGGTTACTTAGAATGATCATATCTACATGATGCGGCAAAAGAAAGACCAAGAAAATGGGATGTTTTCTAAAGCATTAGAGCCTTTTTCCCTCCATTTTCCTTCCCTGATATCTGTTGGAACGACGTTTATCACTGACACTGATTCCTTCAGCAAAATCATTTCTAATGTTTTATGTTTGTACATGTGTATGTATAGATACAAACACACACACACACACATACATATTAATGTAAGTATCAGACTTCCTTTGAGAAAATCTGGTGATAAAGTTTTCTTCACTGGTAGTCCATGGTTCAGATACGGTTCAGAAAATGGAGGTAGTGAGCTATGTTGAAGACTCATTGCCTTATGGCCTCTGGGTACATAGATCTAAAAAATAAATTGTGCCTTGCTGGTGTGGCTCAGTGGTTGAGCATCAACCCATGCACCAAGACGTCGCCGGTTCGATTCCCAGTTGGCACATGCCGGGTTGTGGGCCAGATCCCCAGTGGGGGGCATGCAGGAGGTGGCCAGTCAATGTTCTCTCTCATTGATGTTTCTATCTCTCTCCCTCTCCCTTCCTTTCTCTCTCAAATTAATAAAGGGAAAAAAAGTTTAAAAAATAAATTGCAGGGTCAGTAGACCTGTGCTAACCCAGAGAAACCCTGAATAGAGAGCCTACAGGACACCACCAGGTACAGATCAGTTTTCGACCAATCATCAAGTTACAGTAATAAACAATAAGAAGATCAGATCTGGGGACTTATCTACCCTCTTCAATCCTGGTTAAGCAGTGCGCACAGTCTGTTAGAGTAGCAGTTACTATGACCCTGTGGACTTTGTATTTCAGACATGCCTTGTGTGTGTCTTCACGGTGTCACTTTGTTTCTTTTCCTGCAAGAGAGAGATTCAGAAACTCTATGAAAACAAGTCATTTCTTTTCCTGGGTTGTGGCCAGACTGTGGATGACACCACTTTCCAAGCGCTTTTTCTGGAGGCCGTCAAGCATAAATCTGACCTAGAACATTTCATGCTGGTTCGGAAAGGAGATATAGATGAGTTCATGAAGCTTCGAGAAAACATGCTGGACAAAGGAATTAAGGTCATCTCCTATGGAAATGAATATGCTGATCTTCCTGAATATTTCAAGCGACTGACCTGTGAGATCTCCACGAGGGGTAGATCAGGTGAGATGCACTTTGAGACTGAGAGGATCCGAGAGCAGCGGCTCTCGGCCTCGTGTGTATTTGTTACGGGTAATATCATTGCCACGGTGAGGCATAGCGTCCTAACCACGTTATGAAAGGAGGGCGTGCTGAGTCTTTAGGTTAGACTGGAATGACATTGGAATAGGAGGAAATGCACACATAAATCCAGTGAAGTGGGAAGGAGGAAAAAATGTGGCCTCATTGGTTATCGGTGAAATGCAATTAGAATTTAGATTTCAGAACAGAAAAGAATAACTCAATTTTGGCTAATCTGTGAGGAAAGAAATATATTCATGTTGGAACAAGTTCAAAATGTAAAAAAAACCTTTGACCCAGAAATTTCACTTGGTATAATTTATCTTAGAAGAGATTTCGCCTAAAGGGGTCATGGGACAATTGCACAAAGATATAGATGTGAAATGTGATCAATTTTGTATATAATGGAAAAAAAATTGGAAGCAAATTAAAATGTTTGACATCATTGAGAATTTTGTAAATACTCCAACATTAATTTATAAAATGCAATGAAGCTATAAAAAGGAAAATGTTTTTATTGTTCAAAATGATGTCAGAGACTTAATATTGTGAATGAAGAGGGGGGAAGCAGGTTGGAAAACACCATCATGGTCAGTCCCATTCATACAAAGTTATAGATACTCTGTTTTTGTTTGTGTGTGTGTATAGAGAAATATCTGTAGTGATGGTTACTAAATTAACTGTGGTTGTGTTTATGCTATAGGACTTAAGGATTTTTTAAAAAATATTTTGTTTCAATGTTAGCATTTTCTATAATGATTATTTTTATAAAAACAGAAAAAACACATTTTGGCCCTAGCCGGTTTAGCTCAGTGGTTAGAGCATCAGCCTGCAGACCAAAGAGGCTCGGGTTTGATTATCCTGGTCAATGGCATGTACCTCTGTTTCAGGTTCGACCCCCAGTCCTTGGTCAGGGTTGTGCGGGAGGCATCCAATCCATGTGTCTCTGTCACATCAATGTTCCTTTCTCTCTCTCTCTCTCTCTCTCCCCCTCCCCTCCCTCTTCCCCACTAATTTAAGTGCTATTCGATGGAGGGTTTTCTCTCGATAATAACCACATGGCCTTAGCAGCCACATGCCAACGGCCATGTGGACTCCAAACGCAGGCTCCTGCGCGAGCCTGAACTGCAGCAGGGAACACAAGCTAAGCCAGCCGGATGGGCAGAAAGGCGGGGCTGCGCCGGCTTTGCTGTAGGACAGAAGCTCTGGACATTGGCCCTACTTCGGGCCCTGATTTTCTGTGGCAGGACAGAGAGATGGGACATTGGGAACCTAAGTATCTTCTGTTGTCACCCAAATAAAACCACCAGATCTCATCCTCCCTTATGAGTCCCCGAAAACGCTTTTTCTCGTGACACGGAAAGAACCCCTTTTCCACCAGCAACACTACTAAAGTGACTTTCCCCAAAGTTAACACTAGTTAGGTATTCAGAATTTTTAAAAATCAAGGATTTTTAATATGGTCAGGGGGCTTGATTAGAATGGTCATCTGAGTTTGTGATTTGAAATCTAGCAGAGCACACATTATTTCATTTTGTGACAAGTCAAGCTTATCAGCCATTCTTGGTTATGTTTTGAGTTTCCATATTTGCATACTGAGAAGGGGTAAGTAAGAGGTCCTTTGTTGTTCTGTTTAACACTGAGCATTTGCTATGGATCTGGCGTGCTGCATACTCACTTTTGCATAGTGAAAATTAGTTGGGTTCAGAAGAATATAAGATCTTGTAAATTATTTCAGAAAAATCAAGTAATGAGGAAAAGAAACATAAATCTTTTATAACTCATTACCATCATACAAGCAGTTTTGATATGTTTTTTTTTCCATTTATCATCAGATAGAGTGGGAGGGGGTGGGAGGAGGAGAGAGAGAGAGAAACATTGATGTGAGAGAGACACATTGATTGGTTGCCTCTCACATGACCCCGACAAGGGCTGGGGACCAAACCGCAACCAAGATACGTGCCCTTGACCAGAATCGAACCCTCGACTCTTTGGTCTAACCATTGAGTCAAACTGGCCAGGGCTGATATATTTCTAATTAGTAATTTTTTCTATGCATTTTTCATAGTTGTAAAGCAAGTATACATAGTCTTGGTACTTTTTTTATTCAGTAGTACATCATACAAATTCCCACAAGGCTACAGGTTTTGTTACTGGTTCAAGGTTCATGTGCCCAGTGCTTCAAAGGCCAATAAAAAATGTCAGAGTTTGGAGTAAGGTAAGGTTTATTGATCAAGGTGCCAGCTCGAGAAGATGGAGAGAGAGGAGATCTTACAGCTTCCACAAATCCATTTTAAGAGTCAACGAAGGGAGCAGGGGCGAGGCAGGAGGTGGGTGAGGAGCCTAGACAGCTAGGTTCGGACCGAAAACATGGAGAGCGTGAAATCTCCATCTCTTTGTTTCTAGTTGGTCCATTGAACCCTCCACCACCGAGTCCAGTCTTGAGGTTTTTGTAAATCTTTGATAAACAGTCATTATTTTGTACATATTTCCCTACCTCTTCAGGAAAGGTGCCTTTGGACCAAGGGGTTGTTCTTGCAAAAGCCAAGCTCATGCAGAATTCCCCTAGTTAATGAGCATATCGGTAGCAGGAGCCATAAGCCTGAAAGCCATGGAGAATTGCAGGCTAGAATTAAAATAGGGAAGCAAGCCTTTCGCTATCACATTTTCATAACCACTATTTTTTAATTTTAAAAAATTTTGAGTTTAGAGAGGGAGAAACATCGGTTTGTTGTTCCACTTATGCACTCATTGTCATAACAGCTACTTTAATGACTGTTATAATCCAGTGTGGTTGTTAGTTTACCTAATTGTTTCCTGTGAGGCAAGTTAAGATTTTTTTCCCATTTTTTTTTTTTTATTGTAAGAACTGTTGCATTGAATGTTATTTTCATCCATAGTTTTTCCTTTTGCAGGTAACTTCCTTAGAGTAAGTTCTCAGTGTAGTTATCAGGTCAGAAGGCACAAACATCTCAGAGATTGATAAATATTGCTAAAGTGCTTTCCAAGAGGGAAATAGCAATTTGTATGTTTGAGCACTGTCTTTTATTTATACTCTAACGGGCCATATCTTCTTCCGCGTGTTCACTTGCATACCTTTTCCTACACCATTATCTAGCCCAGTGCAGGCCAACAGATTTTCTGCAGTAATAGTTTTGCTATCCAGTACCATAAGCATAAGTCACATGTGGCTGTTGCATATTTCAAATGTGGTTAGTGCGACAGAGGAACAGGATTTTTAACTTATTGTAAAACTCAACCAACATATGGCTATGGCATCGTATTATCAGGGAAATTGGGGTATCCTTTTCCCCACTGAGTGCTGGGGGTGGAGTCCTTACCCTATGTTGAGAAAAAAATTTTTAATTTTTTTTCTTTATTGATTTTAGAGAGGAAGTGAGAGGGAGAGAGAGAAACATCAATGAGAGAGAACATTGATTGGCCACCTCCTGCATGCCCCCCACTGAGGATTTGGCCCACAACCTGGACATGTGTCCTGACTGGGAATCGAACCAGCAACCTCTTGGTGCATGGGTTGTTGCTCAACCACTGAGCCACACCGGCTGGACAAAACCTTCTGAGACTCTCACAGAATGAGTGGTTTTTATTTGCATGGAATTACATCTCTGTGTTTCTAATGTCCCATTTCCCTGAGTCCAATTTCAGAAGTGTACTTGGGGTTTCAGTGTCGAGTTACAAGCAAAGCCAGTGTCCAAAGTTTCTCTTCCATATTGCAGCTGGGTCCAGTTTAGCATCAGGTTAGTCACTGTCCATTAGTGTGTGAGGTCCGCATGGCCATCGGGCAGTCGCAGGGGAGTCAAGAGTGTGTGCACCAAGCAACAAGAGTCCCAAGAGTGAACACCTTTGTTTAGGGGATTAAATAGCCCCAATTTCACACCCTCGCAGTGGCCACAGCCATTCTGGCCAGTGACCTATTCCCAGGTGTGACTGACAGGCAGTACCTAGCATCACACCAACTTTACTGGGTATGCGTCTGTTCTCCCCCTTGTCCTGTCCCTTCCCCAAAGCGATCTGTGGGGAATAGACTGATGGTTCCTGGGGAGTGTAAAGCTTGAGCTTCCTGGTGAAGTTGCCCCAATGATGTCTATAATATTGGCCTTCCCTTTTTGCCCCTTTCCTGTTATTAATAACTAGGTTAATTAAAATGGTATATCAGTAATAGTGCAGATCTAACCCATTTTATACTTTGCACTTTTTTACTTAGTTGAATTTATTCAGTTGCATGCTGTTCCCCTTCTCTGGCCAAACTCAATTTCCCCCCTCAACTTGGCTTTCTGGTTAGGGACAGCAGACACTTTGCCCACTTAAAGGCTTTGTTTACCAGCACTGTCAGCACACTCAGGGACCTACTATTTCCGTTGTTTATTACAACCCTTTGAGGACTAAGCTAGTTTATTTTCCCCAACTCTTCGCCTTGGCCTGTGTGTTCATTACGAAATCACGTTATCCTTCTTAGAGCATGAGCTTTCATCTCCCTTGGATTGGTTGTTTTTGTTTCTATTAAGTGTTTGGGCTTCTTAGTCTAACAGCTGACACTGATGTTCATTCTGTTCAGCAGGGATGGTGAGAGAAGGTCAGCTAAATGGTTCACCTGCAGCACACAGTGAAATAAGAGGTACACTATTCCCTGTTCTGTTTGCGAATTTGTCAACAGAAAATGTGTTCCAAGGACCTAGTTAAATCTTGGAGAGTAATGACTTGCCTCTGCTACCTGGAAAGGATTCTGTATTTTTATATCAAATCTAGTACAACATTCCTAGTTATCTCTCAATGTCTTATCTTCTGAAGTTGGTTAAGTTTGACTTAAGTACCTGCAGCTTTAGATGTGTAAACCTGTTTTGTGAAACTTCCTTTTATTCTCTGCCTTCTCTCCACAGACCTCAGCACATGAGAGTGCTACAGAAGTCAGCACCACTAGACCAAGCTGTAAGGCCCTGCCGTGGACAGTGTTTAACAGTCAACTTACAAGAGTCCAACACAGCTCCAAGGAAGAACCAAAACCCAGACGTTGAAGACTGGGGCTAGAGTTTGGGGCGGGGAACATTCCACCTTAATTCTTTGTGCCGCCGGTTCTTGGTCTTTCGGTTTTTGTTTTTTTGTTTTCTGGTTCTTGGTCTTTTGCGGCCTGTTCCAGTTTGAAAATACCCAAGTGACAATGGGATCCCTGTGCAGCTCCCACCCCCCAGGCTGGACACACTGCTGTACCCGCACCGCAGACCAGTGACAGCTGAGTAGGCTGCTGCTCCGCATGAAGGACTCACCATGGCCCCGTTGCAGTTTTGTATTCTGTACTTGGTTTCTCACTTAAGCGTAATAGCTTTTTTAAAACAAGACTTGAAGCTCTAGTTTTCTAGATCTCTTACAGTGTACAGTATTTTACATACCTGATGTGTATTAAAAGCTTGTTCATTTATTTCCCAGGGCCCTGGTTCTACTTTTAGTCACTTTGGAACACTAATCTGCAAAGGTACTGACAAGCCTGATTTTTGTAACTCAATTTAAATTTTAAAAGATCTGTCCCTTCACCCAGGGAGGGGCAGTCTCATTCTCTAGAGCTCAGTTCCTGCTGCTTCCCTCTTTACTGTAAGTCCTATATAAAGCAACTCCAAGACTAAAAAGCAACTTATTTATGAAATTTATTTTCTTATATATAAATTATGCATTTCTCTGGGCAGACAGCCTTCACTGTATTGCACTAAGCACATCTGTGATACCAAGCTACAGGACGAGTCTCAACACGAGGTTTGTATCCAAAGTAGTACTTGTCTACCAGGCACTGTAGAGAGGTGGCGGTGAAGCCGGGGTCCCTGGGGAGGGGGGAAGGGGCAGTGTGATACCTTCTGACAGGTGGTTTTCTCCCAGGAAGGGGAACATGCAAAGCTTACATCGTTCTGGGCCTGGGGAGGAGCTGGAAGGCTGAGAAGCCCAATGTGACGCTGCACTCACCCCCCTGTTCCCCAGGGGAGAGGGCACTCATCTTTCGCTCATGTGTAACAAATCCCTCTTGATGCTTTGGAGAAATGACAGGGATGGGGTCATCAGAATTAGCAGCAATTGAGAACGGGCCATATATTGCCAGTGTGGTTGGTGGGTGTCACCCAGGCCCAGGGACCTGAAATCTATGTAGCCTAGGGAGAGGTGCCACTCAAGATCCAGAGCTGGCTCTGGAAGTTTCTTAATCTAACGGAGCAGGGGCGTCAAACTGCTTATTATACTCAGATGTCCCTGTGGCCACACTAATCGGCAAAGTTCTGGTGTTGGATCTTCTGACACTGGTCAAAGCTGTAATGAGACCGAGTATGTGGGCAGAGTGATGTGGAACCTGAGTGGGAAGGGCAGGAGCGGGTGGGGTTACAGGCAGGGGCAGGGACTGTAACATGATTAGGCCTCCGTGCACTGTAGGCTGGGCTGAGCAGAGTGCGGCGAGGGCTTGCCCAGGAGCCGCCCTCACCTGCCTTTGCACTGCACTGAAGACACGTCGCTCCCACGCTCTAGAGCACATTCTCAGTACAGGAACGGGCTGGGGGAGCGGTGACTCGGTACTGGGCAAGAGCATCTTAAGCCTTCATGAGGGCCGCCACCACAGCCTTGGCGTTGAGACTGCGTAGGTCACAGTAGGTCTGGCCAGTGCCCACAAACACGATGGGTTTGCTTGTGATATAGGTCATAGAAATAGCAGCTCCCACCTGAAGTGGAAAAAGGGGTACCCAGTCAACAAGTATCCTTCTGAATCCCTCAGTAACCGGAAGCTTTGCAGCTACACAGCCTCAGCTTCCTTGTGAAAGATGGCCACTCTGCCCTCCCAGTCACATTGTCCAGTGTCATTCGTGTTTACCTTGTCATCAATGGTATCAAATTTGGTAAGGACAATGCCATCAATGAGCCGAGGGGTTTGAGCCATAGAATGGTCAGCCAAGGCTCTGTTGAACTTGACCTGGAAAGGAGAAATGGGATATAAGTATAAAAAGCACCTTTCCAACCAAAACTGAGGTTGGAAAGAAAACCATGTCCTCACCAGCTGATCCACGGCCTCGTTGCCTACTAAGGCCTCCCCCACAAACAGCACCAAGTCGGGTGTGTTGACAGTAATGAGCTTGGCCAGGGCAGTCATCAGAGGGGCATTGTCTTGCATGCGACCAGCTGTGTCCACCAGCACCACATCAAAGCCTTGATTACGTGCTAGAGAGAAAAAAAGTCAACTCAAAACTCCTGGACTGTCACTAGCCTGACTCCTCGCAAGTCCTAGCCTGACTATGTTAAAAGTCTGGCCCTGGCCGGTTTGGCTCAGCGGTTAGAGCCTTGGCCTGCGGTCTAGAGACCCCAGTTTGGTTCCCGCTAAGGGCATGTGCCTCGGTTGCAGTTTGTCCCCGGCCCTGCTTGGGTTGTGCGGGTGGCAGCCACTCGATGTGTCCCTTTCACGTTGATGTTCCTCCCTCCCTCCCTCCCACTCTGTCTGAACAAAATATGGAGAAATGTCCTCGGATGAGGATAAAAAAAAAAAGTCTTTACTTTTTTGGGCTCTGGATCTGGTTACAGGGTAGTGTGAGAAAGTCTATTCTAAGCTTGGCCCTAAGGCACATACACAAAGGTGAACAAATAGAGGTTTCTTCAGTTGGGTATATTAGCTTTGGTTGCAACTACACCTATTACCCAAAGCAGAGCATGGCAAGTCACCGATCCTGACTTGTTACTGCGCAGTGAGTTGGTAGCAGAGTAACCCTGATTGTCAGTCTATTTTAAGGGCACCCAAGGAGGAAAGGAGCCCAGACAAGTTCCCCCACTTTCTGTGAACTGTACCAAAGGCAATAGCTTCCATGGCAATGCCAGCAGCATCTTTGCCATAGCCCTTCTCAAACAGCTGCACCATGGTGCGGCCACCGTGATTCTCGGGGGGGTGCAGGGTACTCAAACGTCGTGTGTGTGTGCGCAGCTGCTCCACAGCCCCAGCACGAAAGGTGTCACAGGCAGCGATGAGGACACTGAAGCCATTCTCTAACAGCCAGAAGGAAATCTGCAAAAAGAGGCAAAGGAAACTGTTACCTCGAACCAGAACTGCTAAGACACAGTGAAGAAATGTCAGAAGTACTGCACTGACCTTGGCAAGATTAGTAGACTTCCCCACTCCATTAACCCCACAGAATGTGACAACATAAGGGCGCTGATGACGCTGGGCATCCATGATGTCCCGAAGCATGTCTACACGACGCTGTGGCTGCAGAATCTGTACCAGAGACTCCTGTAGAGCTTGCTTTACTGTGGAAGTCACCGCTGAAAGGGGGAGGAGGTGGCACATCCATGAATCCCAAGCAATGAACTCCCAAGTATGTCAACACCTTTCTGAGCTTAAGTAACTAAGATCTGGATACTAGGATCTTACCCCAGGAATCACATAAACACTCCAAGTATCAACTCATTCAACCTTCCTAACAAGTCTTAAAGACTAAATTATGTAATAGAGGTTTAGACATTAAGGGATTTGCCAAAAGTCATGAAGGCCAATGCACTTAAACTCCTGTAATGTGTAATGGATGCCCTACACACTTTCTGGTTTAGGGACATACTTACTGCTGAATGTCCCCATCACCTTCCCTTCCAACTTGTTGGCCACAGATTCACAGAGTTGGACTGCAATGTCTGCCGCCACATTCTTAGCTGGGGAGAGGGGGGGACAGGTGTGGAATGAATGCCATGTCAATAGTCAACTCCTACGGTACAGATAAGAAACTAGCTTGTTCTACTATCCACCATCCCTACCCAATAACCATGAGCCCACCTGTTCCTTAGAACTTACCAATGAGATGATCGCGCATCTTGTCCAGCACAGATTCCATGTCTTCACGACTCAAGCTCTTGGAACCCACAAGGCCTTTCAGCATCCCAAACATGCCCCCCAGAGTCCCCTTGGCAGCACTGCAGGCACAGGAGATCAGATACCAGTCAGTGGGCAGGGTCAAATCTCAGCCATTCTGGAGCCACACATACCACCCACCACCTGCAATTCCCTACCTAGGTTTGGTAGGGTTTTGAGTGGCCCCTTCATCATCTGAGCTGCTGCAGTCCAGATCCTGAAGCTGCCCCCCAGGCCCAGTCCCTCGGATCTGTAGGGGATGGGGAAAGGAAGTAGGATTAGGAATACTAAAGGTTCTGAGGGGGAAAGAGCCCAGGATTTAACACCCATCTACATTGCTCAGTCTCTGATTTGGGAAGCTCCAAATGTAACAAACCCCCTAACTCAAATCAAAGGTACTGCCCTCCTCCTACTTCCTCTCCAATTCTTTTTAATGGTTACCTTAACTCTGGTCCCTGTTGACTCTTACCAAGTTGATGTCCTCAGGCAAGGAAGCCTCTGGGGCCCCATTGGTGGTAGGAGAGCTATAATCCAGGTCTTCCTTGTTAGCACAGCCACCCAGTGCCCACACTCGAGGAGCTTTTTTGCCCTTCTCCTTTGGAGCATCTGACTTTGTGGACTTGCTGAAAGGGTTACAGGACAGAGGGTTATAGTGGAGAAGCAGGACAGGAAATAGCCACCCAAAATCCAGGGATAAGAACGCCCCTGCCCTCAACATGGCTAGATTATGGTCAAAGTCAGAATGCTCACCTGGACTTGTCTATACCCTTCCCATGTTTCTGAATGAACTCCTCTCGTTTCCTCCGTATCAGCTCCTCTTTGGAAAGTTCTACCCCATTGTCAGCCCCCACTGACTTTTCTGCAGGGACTGCTTTGCTGGTAGCCAAAGGGACATCGAAACCTGTTAGAAGAAAACTCACTGGAGAAAAAGGACCAGATTCCAACAAAATAGATAACAGGACAAAATCTTCCAAATCCCTAAAGGGGGAACCAGGAGCAAATATCTTTGAGCTCACAAGGCCTGGGGATGATAGTGAGGATGGGAGGCATTTGAGTAAGGGAGACAGACAATAACAAAGAGAAGAGCGGGGAACCACTTTAGTTCTTAGCACCACATTAACTTTTCATGCCCCGTATGTCCAAGGAGCTCAAACTAACCTTCCTTCTTGGACCCCTTGTTTTTTTTGTTCTTTGCTTTTTCTTTGGGCTTTTCACCCCGTGTCTCAATCATGGATCTCACAGGTTTCTTGGCCTTTTCAGAATCTTCAAATTTCTTCATGGTAGTTGGAGCCCGGACCTTACTACTCTCCTCTGCCTCACTAAAGGAAAAGAGAATGGTTGAAGCCCAGAGAAAGGATCCTCACACCAAGAGGATCATTTAGAACTGGGTAGCAAATTTAGAAGCTTCTTTAAATAAACAGTTTACTACCCTTGAACGGACCTCAGGGAGGGAGCTCATCAAGCCATGGAAATTGATTTGGGGGAGGGGAGGCCTCTCACCGAAGGAGCCGCAGAAAGTCATTTTGGAAATCAAAAGTGCCATTCAGTAGACTTAAAGCACTTTGCTGTTGGATCTCTGTGCGGTACTTGTCCCGAAACAGCCGGTGCACATCATCTATCAATTTGTCTACATATGTCAGTGTTAGGATCTTCTGAAAACCCACCTGTTTAGGGAAAGAAACAGAGCCAACAGATCTGCTTACATGCCATCCTAGAACAGAGGGAAGCCAACTCAGCCCAGGCCTCCAGATTGGCTAAGCCATCTGGCAGGTGTCCCTGACCTGAGGGGTAGCCAAGCTCTCTGACTGGGCCCCAGAGTTTCTTCCCTCTACCCTCACCCTCCTTGTCTTCTCAGTTGTTTCATCATATAATACCTTATGCAATTAATCAGGGCTCTGTGAATAATCAGGACTATGCTGAGAAGGCACTCATTCCTCTAAAATAACTCCACTTACCACAAACACCAGCTCAAACTGGTTGTCCAGTTTATACTTGAGTGTGAGTGCTTCATGGGTGAAGGAGTTGTTGCCTCCCCTTTCCTGGAAAGAGAGTATGTCTGAGTTCAGACCATTCCCCAGACAACCCAGTCTTGGAGCCCTCAACAATTACCTTTGGGAGAGAAACAAACACTCCCCCAAAGTCAAACCTGTCCCAGGACAAGAGGATGCTGGGGCACTGCTCTGGAGCATTCCACCGGGGAGAAAAGGAGAGACCAAGTTGAGGTTTGGGGGAAGAGGTGAGAGAGTGGCAAGACATATGGGAGCCAGAAGGGAAGTAGTCGTCATAGAAACAGGTCCCCTAGCAGCTGCACACCGTTTACAGTTTTAAAAAGGCGTTTTCCCATCCATTATCTCACCCATCCTTCGAAACAACAGAAAGCCAAGCTGCCAGAGGCGAATGGAGGAAACGACGGTAAATCTGAAGAAGTGCCTAATCCAGCTAGAGTCCCAGAAAGCGGAGGGGGAGGGGACGCCGCAAAGTTGCTGGACCGTCTGACGCGGGCGGGAGAAAGAAGTGGAGTCCCGGCTATCCGCGAGTGGCCAGTCTTGGGGCGCACAGAGTGGGAGCGAGGCGCGGGACCGGTCGAGGGGGTCTATGGGTCGGATCGGGGTGGGGGGGGGCGAGCCCGGAGTTTTGACCCCGCGGGGGCGGTACCTGCAGCAGCACAGAACGAATCAACGCGTTAACGGGCCCGGTGCAGGAGTCGCTCACGCCCTGGAAACACCAGAGCACGAGCCCGCCCTTCGAGAAAATGGTGAAGAAGTCGAGCATGGCGGCAGCGGGAAAGGAGCCCGGCCGGCGCCGGGGACTGAGGCCGCGATTGCCGCGACTTCCTGCTGCGCCAAGCGCGGGACACGTCACACCAGCGGCCCCGGAAACCGGTTCATCCGCACTTCCGCTCAGAGCCACGGGTTCCCTACCCGCCACCGCTTGAGGGCGCGCAGCACCGACGTAGGAGCAGGCTGGCCAATGGTGGGTCTGGGCGGGGCTCTTGGAGGTCCCGGGGAGACGGGCAGCCTATAGCGCGGAGAGGCGGGGCCCAGAGGGGCCGCTGGCCAATGGGTACGCTCGTCTGAATGGCTGGAGGCGCTGAGTGGGGCCTGCAGGCGGTGCCAGGTTTAAGGAGTCGCGTTCAGAGACCGCGTCCAGGTTGAGCATGTTTCGAGGGGCGGTGCGGCTCTGCGCAGCCCGAGGCCACTTGGGCCGGGCGCTAAGCACACGCAGTGGAGGCTCGACTCTGGGTAAAGTTGAGGGCACCGGAGGGTATCGTGGTTCTGGCTGTGTAACCTTCAGGACTTGGGTCCCGACCCACGCTGACAGTGGGTCAGCTGGGAGAAGTGCGTAAGCTTGCCCCTGGAGCTTGTGAAGCCCAGACAGGTGTATGGATGCCTAGGTTGCCTTTCTCAGGTGACAAATCGTAGAGCACTCTATGCCTCAGCTCACCAGCAGAATAACAGACCGGGCCGATTCATTGGCTGCACGAATGTGCGTGAAGTCCGGCTCGCGTGCAGCATGCTGTGCCTCGTGTGGTGGAGTAGAAAAGGAGAGAATTCAGTATGTGTCCTGGAGGTGCCTGAAATGAAGCTGGAGAGGGAAGGCTTTCTAGGCCAGTTCAAGACTGGATAGTCCCCAAGCTAGTGTCATTGTAGCAGCACGTGGAGCAAGTGGCAACTGAGATTAGCTTTGAAGGATGTTTACTGGCTCCAGGAAGGTGTGTGTTCCAGGTTCTGAAAAACTGAGCAAGGGTTCGGAGGAGAAAAGTATTGTCCTTGTGCAAAGAACTAACTAGCCAAAGTCATCTAAAAAGTTTGAGTAGTAGTATGAAATGTGTGGAAAGGTAAGGTAAGACCATTGATCAAAGAAAGATTGTAATGCTGCTGAACTTTGTATTGGAAACAGTGGGAAGACTTGGAGATTTGTGAGTTAGGTGTTAATGACAGAGGATTCATTTATTCAAGATATTTATTGAGCACTTAGGATGTGCCAGGTACTCTGCTAGGCTGGAGATTCAGTGGTGAAGAAGGTAAACATAGTACAATATGAAGCAATCACAAATAAAGTCAAAATTGCAAATGTGTTGCGTGCTGCAAAAGAGGTTCACAGAGCTGTGAGATAGTGTGACTGGAGACTTTGACATAGTCTGGAGCGTCAGAAAAGGCTTCCCTAAGAAAATGGTCACTGAGCTGAGATCTGAAGAAAGCAGAGTTCACTAGGCAAAGAAGTGGACCCAGGGTTTTAAAGCAGAAAGAACACCTGTGTAGAGTCCCTGTGATGGGAGGAAATAAGGCACTATCATGGAAACAAAGGGGCTGGGGCTGGAGTGTAGGAAGAAGGACAAGGTGAACAGGAGCCAGATCGTGCATTGTCTCCTGGGCCATGTTTATGGATTTTGGACTTTTATCCTTAGAGTAATGGAAAGCCTTTGAAGGTTTTAAGCAAGAGGTTGTGATGAAATTGGTGTTTATAAAAGATTCAAGGTACATTATAGAAAAGAATTTGGGGCCAGGGGAGATGGCAAGAGGGGAATTAGTAGGAACAGGAGGCTTTTGCATGAATCTAGGTGAGAGATTATGGTGGTTCAGTCTAGGGCAGTGGTGGCAGAGATAGAAAAAAGGGGACAGATTGGGAAGATATTTAGGAGGCATAGTCATCAGAATTTGATAAGAGGACATGAACGTAAGTTTGCTGGTGATGACAGATATCCAGGGTAAGGTGCCACTCAGAGGTGCCGTGTTTCAGAGGTTGCTGCAGCTCGAAGTGTGCTGGGACATCTTGGTCCAGAAGCCGGGGACATCCAAGTGGAGATGACAATACAGTAATGCTGTTGAGTATATGAGCCTGGGGCTCACAAAAGAAATAGGTCTGTATAGGAGAATATGTGTAAGTCACCTTTCCTAGGGAGAGAGTATGGAGTGTTCATTTTAGGGAGGTAAGTGTTGTGCTGGGCATGATGCATGAAAAGGAAGAGAGACTAATGGCATGCAGACCATATAGCAAAGCTATGGAATACTGCTGGGTGCAAGTTGACCTTATGAAAGGGAATGACAGTGTGGACTGACAACTCAGTATCAATTTAACCCACCTTTTCCTGTGCCCATTCCCTAACCCCCTACCACCTGAAAAGGAAATGTATATTCTTCTTTGACCATAACTGCGTCCCACAGACTGGGCTGGAAAGGTGTCAGAAATTAAGAAGAAGATCCAGTCAGTTCTTCCTGGAGGGGCCTGGAATCCACTGTATGACACCAGCCACCTGCCCCCTGAACACTCGGATGTGGTGATTGTGGGGGGTGGGGTGCTTGGCCTATCCGTGGCCTATTGGCTGAAGAGGTTGGAGAAGCAACGAGGTGCCATTCACGTGCTGGTGGTGGAACGGGACCACACGGTGAGGTCGGGGGTAGAACAGAGTCATGAGTGGGGCTTGGACTTGGATTTTACTAAGGTCTCTAGGGACATGGGAAGGGGGGGTGGGAATCTCAATCTTTGGAATTCCACAGGACAGGGACTGTACTTTGGACCTTGTTGAGAAATAGTCCCAGGTTCTTCCTTCCTCAAACTAGGGACCTTGGTGATAAGGTTTTTGCTTTTGAAAACAAATTTCACAATGTTGGATCTTTTGAGATCTCACAGGTCTGGCCAAGAGAGCCTGCATGCAAGTTATAATTAAACAAACAGCTATCACAACCCCCTTTTAGGTTCCATGATTTCTAAGGTTCTGCACCGAGCTGTACCTGTTACCACTGCCGGCAAGCCATGAATCTTGCTACTGTGGCCATATCCCTCTGTTCTCCAGTTAGTAGATCAAACGTTAATCTCCTGCCCTTGGACTTCTGGGCCACTGCCATTTTGTACAACTGTGCCCAGCCCTTTCTTGATGACTGACTCTGTGCTCTGCACATCTGCTAATGACGACTTTAATAACTTGTCCTCTCTGGGCCGCTGGGTGACTTGCATGTGGGTTTATCCACATCAGCTCCTCTTAGATTATAAACCTGCAGGCGGAACTCCCCTTTAACTGTAGGTACGTGGCTCACAGAACCCATGACGTATTCTGCTCCTGTGCAGCAGGGTACTGGTCTACCTCAACTTTCCTTGTTTTCCCACAGTATTCCCGGGCCTCTACCGGGCTTTCTGTGGGCGGGATCCGTCAGCAGTTTTCGTTGCCTGAGAACATCCAGCTTTCCCTCTTTTCAGTCGACTTCCTACGGAACATCAATGTACGTGCAATGAAATCTGGGGGCGGGTGACCCCTCCATTAGCCTAGAGAGAGGAGCAGCCAGCTGGCTAGGGGAAACGGAGCGGGAGCAGTAAAGGCAAGAAGGATCAAAGCCCCTGGTTTTCTTCCCAGGGGTGGTGCCTAGAGGAGGGCTTCTCTCTGGTTAGATCTCTCCATCCCTTCTTTATTTTTTTTTTAATCCTCACCCAAGAATATTTTTCTATTTTATCTTTAGATAGAGTGGGAGGGAGGGAGAAAAACATTGATGTGAGAGGGACACATTGACTGGTGGCCTCCCACACGACCCCGACCAGGGCTGGGGATGAACTGCAACCGAGGTACATGCCCTTGACCAGAATCAATCGAACCCACGATTCTTTGGTCTGCGGGCCGACGCTCTAACCGCTGAGCCAAACCAGCCAGGGCTCTCTATCCCTTCTTCAAATCAGCTTCTTTGAGGAGCTTTGTTTTGCACATAGGATTACCTGGCTGTAGTCGATGACCCTCCCCTGGACCTCCGGTTCAACCCCTCAGGTTATCTTTTGCTGGCTTCGGAAAAGGGTGCTGCGATCATGGAGAACAACGTGAAAGTGCAGAGGTGGGTGCCCGGCACAGCCTCTGAGTTCCCCGGCCGCATGCGTGCAGTAAGCCCTGGACCGAGTCGGCTGGGATGATGGAGCTGACCAGACAGGTCCTGCTCTCTGGGAACCCCGTCTTCCGGGAAAGGCAGGCACAGGCAGAACTTCAGTGCCCCGTGCTCAGTGCTGTGTGGTGGGTCCTAAATTGCCAGACCTAGTACGTCGGAATCTCCAGGGAGGGGCCCAGGAATCTGCAGGCATTTCTGGTAAGAGCCAGATAATAAGTATTGTAGACTTTACAGTCTTTCTTGCAATCACTCAACTCTCAATTGAAGGACAAAATCAGTGATAAACAAACAAACAAAAAACCCACATGAGTATGGCTCATGTACAAAAATAGGCTGCAGGCCAGATGTGGCAGCTCTGCCCTAAGTAACAGTCATGGTCAGGCAAGAGCAGGCGTCTTCAACAAACACTTCTCCAAGTCTCACTGGTGACATCAGCTCATGTCCTAACTGCATTACAGATAATAACTATTTAGTCATCAGGACATTCCTATTTGACGTGGGGAGACCGAAGGCCCAGAGCTAGTGAGTGGTGGTGCTGAGATTCACGCGAGGCCTGGCTTACAAGTGTTCTTTTAGCACCGTGTCGCTGCCTTTGGGCAGCAGGATTCCGGAGGACGGGGTTGTGCTAGTGGATGTGATTGACTGGGAGGTGGGCAGGAAGGCTGTCCCAGGCAGCATGCAGGGAACAGAGTGACTCACACTGTTGTGGAAGGACATGGCCTAGTTAGGGGATGACAAGGGATTTAGTGCAGCCAAAGGGACACTAGGGCGTTGGAAAGGAAGAAGGGGTCAAATGCTGAAGAGCCTGGGCGTGTTCTCCACCCATTCAGCAAGGAGAGAAAATGGGGGAGTTTGGGGCAGAGAAGGGACATAAATGAGGTAGAATCCCCATTTGTGGAGTTGGGTCTGGACTGCTCCCTCTCTGCACACTCATCCTCTCTAACACACACACACACACACACACACACAGAGCCACGTGTTTCTCTCAGGCAGGAAGGAGCCAAAGTGTGTCTGATGTCTCCTGAGCAGCTGCGGAACAAGTTTCCCTGGATAAACACAGATGGCGTAGCCTTGGGGTCTTACGGTGAGGCTTGCTTGCAGAGGGGGTCAGGGGTTGCGTGCACCTCAGGTGGGAAGTCTCAAAACCCTGCAGCCAAGTCGAGGAGAAACGCTTCCCTCCTGGCCAGCAGGGCCTCCCCAGGCCATGCCAGCTCTCTGTTCTGCAGGATTTGACTCTGGTGCAGTCGGTCATCTTATGAGCCCAAAGAAGAGTTGGGGGTGCGGGAAATACAATAGGAGAGAAGGGTTCTAGTCTCTCTTCTTGACTCTTTTTTTTCCTCACAGGGTTGGAGGGTGAAGGTTGGTTTGACCCCTGGTGTCTGCTCCAGGGGCTTCGGCGAAAGGTCCAGTCCATGGGGGTCCTTTTCTGCCACGGAGAGGTGACACGTGAGTCTGAGGCCCCGTGCCCACTGCTTACCGCTTTTGCCATCCAGGGCGCAGGTCTAGACTGTGTCTTATCGTCACTCACAGGCCAAGCGAAGGTTGGTGGGAGAAGGAACTTCTCCACTGGGGGCTGGTCCTGGGCATCCTGACCCCAGCTCCTGGCTAGGCTTCTTCCTGACTCAAAATCTGCTAGCAGATGTCAGCGCCGTCCTGTCCCGCGTGAGCCGAGTGCATCCCAGTTGCCCTGTCTGTTTGCTCAGCGTCTGGGGAAGCTGCCAGCTTTCGGCTTCCTTCCCTCAGGAAGCCAGTGGAGTCCCCATCTCCTTCTTCGAGGGCTTATTTCCTTTTCCTTTTCCTGCAGGTTTCGTCTCTTCATCTAACCTCATGGAGACCATAAGTGGGGAAGAGGTGACTTTGAAAAGGATCCATGAGGTCCATGTAAGTGCCCAACCCAAGTCTCGTCCTTATCAAAGTGGAGGGATGCGAAAGTTAACGACTGTCATTTTGGTCTTCTACCCACTTCCAGTGTGGGTAAACTAAGGCCCAAGAAGAAATGTATCTCTCCCGGTGGCCAGTGTATGGGCCAGGCTCCCCTTCCCTCTCCTCTGGTGCCCGCAGGTGAAGATGGACCACAGCATGGAGTACCAGCCTGTGGAGTGTGCCATAGTAATCAATGCAGCAGGGGCCTGGTCGGGGCAAATCGCAGAGCTGGCTGGTATTGGGAAGGGGCCGCCTGGCACCCTACAGGGCACCAAGCTACCTGTGGAGCCGAGGAAAAGGTGACTCCCCCCCGGGGCAGCTGAGGAGGTTGGTGAGAAGAGGAAAGAAACCATATAAAAAGTTGTCAAGTGGGAGGAGGGGAGTTGCTGTCCCCGCCACTTCCTAACTCACTGGTCACGCAGGTATGTGTACTCATGGCACTGCCCCCAGGGACCAGGCCTGGAGACGCCATTCGTCGCAGACACCAGTGGCGCCTACTTCCGCCGGGAAGGATTAGGCAACAACTACTTGGGTGGCTGTAGCCCCACTGAGGTAAGCTGAGTGGGGTCGTGGGTGCTGGGAAGGAGGCAGACCAGTTGTCATTGTCAGTGGGGCTGTTTGGGAAGGCCAGTGCTATTATTGATGTTGCAGCCCCCTCCAGGTTTGAATTGAGATCTCTCGTCCCCATCCCCCACCCACCTAGGGGGTTGAATAAAGGTGTCAGTGAGATCTAGCTCTGTCCTTGTGTCCCAGGTAATATAAGCCTTGTCCCCCCACCCCACCCCCAGGAGGAGGAACCGGACCCGGGGAACCTGGAAGTGGACCATGATTTCTTCCAGGACAAGGTGTGGCCCCCTTTGGCCCAGAGGGTACCAGCTTTTGAGAGTCTGAAGGTAACTAGAAGGAGACAAGACATTGGAGTATCTTGGTTCCCTTGGAAAGCCCGTCCTCAGCCTTTTCCTGTCAATCTCACAACTGCAAAGGACTCTGTCTAAGGACCCATCCCACCGACCCTCCTCAGCAGTGGTAGACGGTGCTGATGCCTAACCAGGAGTGAGGGAGGGGTATATCGGCAGCCTTCCTGAGGACCCCAATGTCTTGTGCACCTGCAGGTTCGGAGTGCTTGGGCTGGCTATTACGACTACAACACCTTTGACCAGAATGGCGTGGTGGGCCCCCATCCACTGGTCGTCAACATGTACTTTGCCACAGGCTTCAGTGGCCATGGGCTCCAGCAGGCCCCCGCTGTGGGGCGAGCTGTGGCCGAGATGGTACTAGAGGGCCACTTCCAGACCATCGACCTGAGTCCCTTACTCTTTACCCGCTTTTACTTGGGAGAGAAGGTCCAAGAGCATAATATCTTCTGAGCCTGTAAGCTCTGCACTGGCCCCATATCCCCATCTGTCACCGCTGGCTCCAATCCTGGCCCATGTTCAAGGTCTCTGCAGCCATGCCAAGGTCTCCTCCACTCTCCTCCTCTCATCCAGGTGATTCTGTCCCTGCGTGGCTGGGCAGGTGGGCAGACTGCAGGCTCTGAGGTTCTATGCCTGAGACCCAGGCTGACAGAGGAGGGAGCAGGACCCTGGGAGTCATCCCTGGCCCACGCTGATGCTCCCCGCCAAGGCAGTCCAGCTGGACAGAGCATCTCAGTGGTTTTAAGCACCATGGCCCAGGATTGGCTCCTTCCTGGTACCAACTCAGAAAGATCACCTCTGCCCCTTTTTGCATATCCCTGCAGAGCCTAGGCAGGGAGCATTCTGGTGCAGCCTGGCCCAAATTTATTATCAGTCAATAAATGTGATTAACTCCTTCCTGCTGGTTTTCTGTCCCTTCCTCTTTTCACCCCACGGCAGTTGCTTTTGAAGCGCCCACTAGCCTTTGGCCGGGCTGTGAAGAGCACAGCCTCCTGCTCCGCCTCCCAGGAGTATTCTTAAATCCTTATTGGCTAGTGACTCCCTTTCCCGACTTCCTGCAGGGCTGTAGTTGTAGAGGGAAAGAATGTGTTCATTCCTCTTCAGTATTTATTCAGCTCCAACTGCTGGTTACATATTTGAGACACACCAGTAAGCAAACCTAAAAGATGAGCAGCTTAACAAAGCGAATGCAGGGGGAAGTGGGGAGGAGAGTGGGAAGGGGTGATGCCAGGCTGATGGAAAACCATATACAAAGAATTAGCAAGACTCCAGGTACTAGCTAGATCATGAGTTATCCGAGCTAGATCGTGGGATGAAAGAAGAGGTACATCAGGGCCAGGGGCTGTGGAGTTTGCATTTCATTTTGTGAGCAGGAGACACTAAAGGGTTTTCAATAGGGAAGCGACATGATCAGATTTCCCTTTTAGAAAAATCAGCCTGCCTGCCTTGTGGAGAAAAGATGATGTTGTCAAAGCAGGAGGCCAGATGGAAGGCTGTCGCACAGCAGGAACAGTGGGCCTGCATTGGCCCACGGAGAGCGCACCCATCCAAGAGGCTACAGTGGCAACAAGAAATTGGGTCAAGGTTCCCATCGCTGCACTGGACAACTGGATGGATGGCATGCCTTTCAGAGATGAGGAAGGCCAGGGAGGAGTTGTGAGGGACAAAGGGTATGGTTTGGGACATGTTGAGCTAAGAGTGCCTATAGGACACCTGTTGTCTAGCAAGACTGAATTTATTGTGGCCTCAGGATGCTCTGGGCTGAAGTAGAGATGTGGACACCATGGAAGAGGATGGTATCACCACAGGAGGGCCGAAGAGTAGGGGACCAAGAGGTGAAGCTGGAGGGACCCTTATCACCTTTAAGGGATGAACCAACGAAGAGGCCGCTGAAGAGGTGGCCAGAGGCAGAAGAAAAGCCAGGGGAGAGGGGTTGGGCCTAGGAGGGGTGGTCAGCGGTATAAATGCAGCCCAAATAGGTCAGGGAGAGCCTACCAGGAGCAAGTGCACCTCGGCGGGGTCTGAGGTGTGGGCCCCGGTTCAGAGGGAGAAGGGAATGGGAGTAGAGAGGGCTAGTAAAACGCCCTACCCCAAAGTAGCCTTTGGGGAGGAGAAGGAAGCAAAAGATGGAGCTTGACCTCACTGACGATTGGGGAGGGCAGATGCACTCCAGTGAGGTAACATTAGAGGCCCCGGAACGGGTGGGGGAGGAAGAGCCAGGCAAGAGGAAGAGCCACCAGAATTTGGTGCCGAAAGACAGGAAGAAACTTGCCAAGGGCATAGGGGTAGGGGCCATCAGGTCAGGCCTGACACCCCTGCTATCCCTGTGAGGGAGCCTCCTCAGGTGCCCAGTCGGCACTCACCCTTCAGTAGAGACACCCCTATCTATGTGTCAGGAAAAAGGCCTTCACCTGGCTGGTACCTGCTGGTACCCAAGCAAGTACCTCCTTCCAGATAACAGATGGACTTATTAAGGCATTAGCGAGACCCCGGGTCTCCCACGGGGCTTTCTCCCGGCGGCTAGGAGAGGACTGTGCTCATCACTGCGTCGGTGTCACCACTGCACTGCGAGGGTCCGGGACCAGCCTCCTTCCCCTCGCGCCAGCGGTGCTCGGCTGGGTCAGTGTGGACCTCGGGGCCTCTGGGCTCCGTGGGGGGCGGGAAGGTGCGTCCCTGGCCTCGGGGACCTTCCGTCTACTGCGAGGGCTAAGCCGGTAACACCCGGTGCGGGGCGTCTGGGGACGGAGCTGGGCAGGGAGGGTTAAGGGTTGTCCAGCCCCAGCCACGAAGATGCCTCTTGCCAGAAGCGGGGCGTTGAGAACAGAGCTGGGTAAAGGGAGGGCACTCTGGGCGGAGGGGCCCGAGGGACTCTCCTCCACGAGGCTGCGGGTGTTCCCGGAGGGGCACCCTTGAAAGTTTCTGCCCCAGGGATGCCCGGGAGCTCACCTGCGGGCACGGCCCCGCCCGCACCTCCGGAGCCGCTGGGCCGAGGGCAGGGGGCGGGGCGCAGCCGGGCGCTTCCGGGGGCGAGGCGGTTCCCCATCCGCACCTCACTTCCCTCGGGCCGGGAGGCCGCGCGCGCCCCCGCCGCAGCGCACCGCCCGCACCGCCCGCACCGCCCCCACCGCCCCCACCGCCCCCGGCAGCACACAGTCCGCCCGCCGGCAGCGCAGCCCGGCCCGCGCAGGTGAGTGCCGCGAGCAGGTGGGGGACGTGGGGCCCTGTGGGGCAGGGCCCGGTCCCGGGAGGGGGGAAGGGAGGGCGGGCAGGACCTGCGGCCCAGCCCGGGCACACCTGCCCATCCGCGCCTCCCTCCCCCTCTCCCCCTGCCCCTCTACCTGCTGTCCCGGCACCGGAGCACAGAAACAGGGTGAAGGCAGCTCTCACCGTCCTGCCGCAAGGACGCTGTCTCAGGGAGCCCTCCTCGGGCTGGGGAGGAGGGCCGACCCGCTCGGGCTGTTTCTCCCACTGCCTCCCACAGCCTTCCCTGCTCTGCTCCCTGCTCCTCCCTCTGCTCTTCCGATGGTCTTTGTGACCGTGTTTCCGCAAGAACATGGCTTCACTTAGGGTAATGACCTTCCAGGCATTCCTTCCAGACTCATTTCACCAACATCCACCAAGGGCTGGGCACTGAGCAGTGCTAGAATGACAACATGGAACAGGACAGATTCGGCCCTCCTCCTCCTCCTGGTGACAGCCCGGTAAATGAGAAATCACAACCCACCCTGAGGCGGTGATTTAGAAACTTAGAGCGAGGAAATTCTGGAGCTCACCCAGGAAGCATCAAGGGTCAGGAATGACTGTCACAGGAGATCACATCTAGTTGTTTTTAAAACTTTTTTAAAGTGCACAAATCATAAGTGTACATCTTACCCATTTTTTCACCCAGTGAACATTTCCTGTGCGACCTGCAGCCAGAATAAATAAAATATTGCTAGCTCTCCAGAAGCCCTCATACACCCACTTCCAACCACTACTTCCACCTAAGCATAACCACTATCCTGGCTTCCAACCTCATAAAATAGGTTTACTTGGTTTTGAACTTTCAATACATGGAATCATATGTTGTGGACTTTTTGTGCACAGCATTTTATACACAGTGTGTGACATTCACCCATGTTGCATTGGACAGTAATTCATTTGTTCTCACTGGTGTGTAATGTTACACTGTGTGGATAGACCACAATCTGTTTCTACATGCTGCTGGACACTTGGGTTGATGCACATGGGTTGTTTCCGTTTGGGGTTATTTTAAATAGTGCTTCGAAGATATTCCTGTGTTTGTCTTTTGCTGAACATATGTAAGCACTTCTGTTGGGTTTGTTCCGACAGTGAAATTGCTGGGTGTGTATAGGGTCAGCTTTCTAAAAAGTGCCAGTTTTCAGACTGCTTGTACCAATTTACATTTCTCCCTGCAGTGTGTGAGTTCCTTTTCCTCCACATCCTTGCCAGTGCTTGATATTGTCTCTCTTTCATGGAAGCTTTTTCACTCAGTGTGTGGGTAGTAGTGTTGCATTGAGGTTTTAATTTGCATTTCACTGATGACTAATGACTTGTGAATATTTTCATGTCTGCTGGCTATTTGGAGGTCCTTTCTGTGAAGTGTCTGTTCAATTCTTCTACCCATTTTTCTAATAGACTTTTCTCTTTTTCTCACTAGTTTGTAAAAGTTCTTAAATATCCTGAATATGAGCCACTTATTGGCTATGTAATTTTAAAATGTTTTTTCTCTCAGGGTATTGCCTTTTCACTCTCATCATGATGCCTTTGGATGGACAGAAGTTTTTCATTTTAATGTTGTTCAATTTATTGGTTGTTTTCAAAGTGTAAGTCCACTTTGAAAAAATCTTTGCGGGGAGGGGGCCGTTGTGAAATGGATGAAGGGGGGTCAAAAGGTACACACTTCCAGTTATAAAATAAATGTCATGAGGATATAATGTACAACATGGTGACTGTAGTTAACAATACTGTCTTGTATATTTGAAAGTTGCTTAAAAGTAGGTATTGAAAGTTCTAATCACAAGAAAACAAAAATGTAACTGTGTAACTGTGTATGGTAATGTAAGTAGACTTACCGCAATGATCATTTCACAACAAATGTACACACACAGGGTGGAGCAAAGGTAGGTTGTGAGTATGAGAAACACAGTTTATTCTTGTATTATTATTTATTAGTTATTGTATTATTTTCCATATGAACAACTGTAAACCTACTTTTGCCGCACCCTGTATATTGAATCATTATGTTGTAACCTGAAGCTAACATAATGTTGTATGTCAATTATATCTCAATCATTTTTAAATCAGGAAGATAATCTCCTATATTTTCTTCTAAAAGCTTTATTGTTATTCTCATTTATATCTGCTATCCATTTGAAATTTTTTTTTTGTATGGTGTGAGATATGGGTCAAGATTTATTTTGCCCCACAAGGATATCTACCTAAATTGATCCAGCACCCTCTATTAAAAAGATTGTCTTTTTCCACTGCCAGTGTTGTCATAAATTAGACTACACAGATGTGGATCTGTGTCTGGACACCCTGTTCTTCCGTTAGTCTGTCTATCCTTGTGCATCAGTATCACGCTGCCTTAATTATTGCTGCTTTGTAATGCCTTTATTATTCTGGCAATGGAAGTTCTGAGCCTTGTTCTTCCTTAAGACCTTAAGTATTTTTATCTCCCCCCCCAAAGCCTCTATTAAAAAATATGTATGAAAAGTAGTCATTTTGTAAACACAAAGGGGACTAATGTATAAGGGTATATAACTGGCATAATTTGTTAACTGTACCCATCCATAAATTCACTGCTGACCCAACCTTTATTAGATTCAGTGCCTGCATATTTACATGAAATCTACAGCAAAGTAAATGCAAAATTAATTAATATCATTTTAGTTTAAAATGACCTTTTATATATCATATAAGTCATTAAATATCATATAAACCTTTTATATATCATATATATATGATATTCTATTGGTTATAAGTCAAGGGTCCTGTCCACACTCACAGGAGTGAACATGGGGGCTGCCCAAGGTTATCATGTCTATCAAGCTATTAATTGAATTCAGCATTGACACACATTCAGAAGTGACATTGTCCTGCAAGTCCTAATGAATCTTTCTCCAACAAGTGTTTCAGCAAGTGTTTGAGGTGAAAACTTAGCCATTGAAACCAGTGTTCTTAATTTAAAGTCAAAATTGGGTGATGTGTAGATGATCATTTATTCATCAAAGAAGTAAAAAACTCTTTCAAACAATTAAACCTTTAAACAGACCATTTTTGCCCAACCAGTGTGGCTCAGTGGTTGAGCATCCTCCCATGCACCAAGAGGTCACAGGTTCAATTCCTGGTCAGGGTGGATGCCTGGGTTGCCAGCTGGATCCCCAGTAGGGGGCATGCAGGAGGCAGCCGATCAGTGTTTCTTTCTCATCGATGTTTTCTATCTCTCTCTCTCCCTTTCTCTCTATTTAAAAATCAATAAAAACATATTTTAAAAAAATTAAACAGACCACTTTTTAGCACTCACACACAATGCCTTCTCCACTTATTAGCCTGACATACAATAAAAGACAAGTGTATTTGTTTCCTATAGTTGCTGTAACAGATACCATGAACTCAACGGCTTAATACAACACACATTTATTGTCTCACTTTGAGATGGTTAGAAGTCTAACATGGGTCAACAGGACTGTGTTCCTTCTGGACGCTCTAGGGAAGAAGCCAGGTACTTGCCCTTTCCAGTTTCTAAAGGCTCCCCACATTCCTTGCTCATAGTCCAAGATTACACTGATCTCTGTCTCTGTTGTGACATCTCCTTTCACTCTGACCTTCCTGTCATCCTCTTACAAGACCCTGTGATTACTTTGGGACCACCTGGATAATCCAGGCTAATCTTCCCATTTTAAGATCCTTAATCACATCTGCAGAGTTCCTTTTTGCCATGTAAGGAAGCATATTCACAGGTTCTAAGGATTAGGATGTGGACATCTTTGGGGGACTACCACAGATAGTGATTACAGCTTAAAAGAAATTTAATGTGAAATATAAAAGGTACATGTATTCTAATTATCTGCCTTCATAGGTTTCAGTACATTCCCTTATAATAGATATTGGAGACTAGGTAGAAATCGGATAATACTTCAAATACTTTGGATTTTATACAGTGAAACTTCCTATTTCCCTCACATAATAAGTTTCTATAAATGATATTGCAAAAAACATTCTAAAAAACACCAAAACTATCATGCTGTTGTTTTTTCTGAAGCAGCTCTTTACTAGTTTTCTATCAGGTCTTTGTAATTATCTACAAAGTAGGTATTTGGATATATATCATTCTAGTTTATGAATTTTTTTATTATTTAAAATTTTATTTTTCAATTACAGTTTATATTCAGTATTATTTTGTATTAGTTTCAGGTGCACAGCCTAACGGTTAGATAATCATACACTTTACCCAGTGATCCCCCCAATATTTCAGTTATCCACTTGGCATCATACATAGTCACTACAATATTATTGACTATATTCCCTAGGTTTTACTTTACATCCTTGACTATTTTATAACTACCAGTTAGTACTTCTTTATTTTCTTAATATGTTTTTTAATTGATTTTTTTTTTAGAGAGAGAGAGAAACATTGATGTGAGACAAACATTGATCGGCTGCCTCCTTCACGCCCCCTACTGGGGATCGAGTCCTGAAACCCAGGCATGTGCCCTGACCTGGAATCCAACCAGGACTTTTCAGTCCATAGGAAAATGCTCAATCCACTGAGCCACACCAGCCAGGCCCAATTAGTACTTCTTAATCCCTTCACCTTTTCTCCGGGTCCCCCCACCCCTCTCCCTTCTGGGCAGCCATCAGTCTGTTATCTGCATCTATGAGTCTGTTTCTATTTTGTTTGTTAGTGGTTGCACCAATCTGCATTCCCACTAACAGTGCATGAAGGTTCTCTTTTCTCTGCATCCTCACCAATACTTGTTTGTTCATGTATTGATCATAGCCATGTGACAGGTATGAGATGATATCTCATTATGGTTTTAATTTGCATTTCTTTGAGGATTAGTGATGTTGAGCATCTTTCCATATGTCTACTGGCCATCTATATGTCCTCTTTGGAGAAGTGTCTATTTAGGTCCTCAGCCTACTTTTTAATTGGATTTTGGGGGTTTTATGGTGTTGAGT